AGATGCTTCAAAGGAAGGGTCATGGATTAGGAAATTCATCCAAGATTTGGGTGTATTTCCAAACGCTAGCGATCCAGTACGGCTGTACTGCGATAACAACGGAGCCGTAGCGCAAGCTAAGGAACCAAGAGCTCATCAGAAGTCGAAGCACGTGTTGAGAAAATACCATGTGATCCGAGAGATAATAGAGAGAGGTGAAGTCAAGCTAGACAGAGTCACCTCGGAGGACAATATTGCAGATCCCTTCACCAAGCCATTGTCAGGATCAGTCCACGAGAAACATCGAGAGTCGATGGGACTTAGTTTTATGAGTAGTTGGCTTTAGGTCAAGTGGGATATTGTTAGAGTAGGTGACCAACAAGCCAACTTGTGGTTGTGGTCCTTCTCCTTTCTTGTAATAAAACAATCGTTTTTCGTTCGTAATAATAAAATATTTCATTTGGCATTCTATATCTGTTATCCCATGCAAGCAGCATAGATATAGTCCTAACGAGTTACTCTATTACTGTGAGTTGATCTAGTAGAATCGTGAGATAACTCAGCAATGTAATGTAACTGTTAAACCTTGTTCCTAGTCGATGGGTTACGCCAATAATGAGGATACCGGCCTTTCCCTTTTGAGACTAGCACTTAGTGTATGTGTACTGCGTCTCATCAGTCCTCGGTGTTATGACATCGGCATACTTGAGTGGGTGCTCATACTGGATGAGTTCACTGAACTCCCTCGCCCTAGAAATCTATAAGTGGTTCTCATTCATCGAGTAATAGGTTTCTAAGATATAGTTGTACACCATTAGTCCTTAAGACCCAGACATCACCGTGACTTCACTAGAGGACCGATTGTATCGTGACCTGTCCCTGAGTCCCACCGCGGACCACTCCAAGGGCCAACGTTCGTGCAATCCGAAATCTAGTGTGAGGTCTGTGTATTGTAGTAGGGGATTCGAGCGCTTGAGTAGTCATGGATGTCCTGTGTGTTCTGACGGTTTATAATCCATGGAATCTCTGGCCAGAGTTGATAGTGGGGTGATTAGGGAAATGTGTTTCCCTAAGTCGCACACGAACGGATTTATAATACCTAGAACGTTCGCACGGTTATTGAACTTTATAAGAGGTCTCGGTGAACCAATGCCTCTAGTTCAATCGGGACATGTGCTGCGAAAGGATCGTACTGTACGCTAACTATATCATAAGGTTCTTGCAGGCACTTCATTTGTATCTAGGGAATCATGATGCGTAGTTGCTAGACGCCAATCTTGGTTCGTTGGGCACCGATTTGATCGGGGATTAGGTAAAATGAGTTTTACTCTAATCGGGACTCTTGGGAGGAGTTCGTATAAGAACAATGTGTTGTTCGAATCACAAAGAGTTGTGAGTCCACGGCTAGCATACACCTGAACCATTGAGGGTCACACTTCTCGTGTAATATAGATCCTTGATAACAACAAGCATAGATTAATGTGTTAATCTTTGAACGATTGGATGTCGATATGATTGAATCCAAGATTCGTAATTGTGAATTGTGAATTGGAATAAACGTGGAGAAAGAGAGACATGCGGAATTTAGTGAACTTTCTAAATTGGGAAGTTTCCCGATTTAGCAGGACCACTAAAGTGGAAGTTTCCAATTTTGGAAATTGGAAATTTCGAAGAGGCGCTCGTATCGACGAGGAATCTGAGCTCGTCACAAATATAATTTTGTTATAATTTTGTGGACGATCGTTTATTAGAAACGAGGCCGACGAGGGAATGGGCTTAATGCATCAGTGGGTCAAGCCCAATGACTTAAGCCCACTAGGGTTGAAAACCCTAAGTATAAATAGACCTCAAACAAGAGTTTGAGATAAGATTTTAAGCACCAAACCCTAGCCGCTCAAGCCCTAGCCGCTCTCCCCTTCGGCCGTTGCTGCCCCGCCGCGCCACCGCCGACCACCGCCGGAAAACCGCCGGTTTTCTCCTCTCGTTTCCTTCGTTTTATTCTTGTTGTTATATAACTCGTTTACATCTAGTGCTGTAGTTCGAGTGGGTCGAAAATAAGAGGTGGAACCTAATTGGAGAGGAGCTGCTGCCCCGACGAATCCACGCACCGCTGCTGCACCGCCGCACGCGCCGTTACGCCGCTCACGCGCCGCCGCTGCTGCTGCCATTCACCGCCGTTCGTCGCTTGCTGGATCAGCTTATTCCAGCCGTGAATTGCAGCCGCGAGGATTGGTAATTTGCAGCTTGTACGTGATTGGTTCTAGGTTTCGATTCGTCGAAATCTCACGCTACAAGAGGTAAATGAATCGAAACTTTCATAAATTAATTCGAGCATGTTTGTATGAATTATGATTTATGATTATGAGTAATATGTGATTACGTGTTTCGATTTTATTGAATGATGAACAAGCATGTTTCGTAATTTTCGGTTTTACGTGTTTTTCAATTAAATCGATAATTACCATATGTATGGCGGAAGCGTTAAGGTACGTTGACTATATGATTAGTTTTTGCATGTAATCGAAACTAGTTCGATGTAAAAAATTTAAATTCCGCTGCGTATACATGCACGATCCCCAACAGTTACAACGTATGATAATTAAGCAAAACAATTTTGAAAAAGAAATCAGAAACTTAAAATTTCTGCAGTATTTTTCCATTACATAACTCAAGAAATTACACACACCTATTTATCATCAATAAACCTAGTATTTATTGGTCTACATACTTGAACATATTGCACATATATGAGAACTAAGAGAGCCATCAAGCCTGTGATACTTTACACCATAACCCCCCACTTAGAGCATCTTCGACCGGTATCACAATTTTTTCACCAAATCCCATTTATGGTGGTGAAAAAATGGGTTCATCTCCCACCGGTAGCACACCATTTTACCCCTCCACCATTTTTGATGGAAAAATAGTGTTTTTGGTATCCAATGGGTTTCACCAAAATTTAGACCAAATATTAAAATAATAATATTTCACCATTTTACCACTTATAGAAAATGGGATTTGGTTTGATCTCCCATGGCATTTCACCATATACGCCCCAAAACTATAAATATAATGTTAATCGTAATTTTATAATATTTTATTTCCTAAATATTAATTATAGATCCAATGTTAAGTAATAAATTTTCTTAATTATATAATTTAAAAATTATGTTATCAATTTTAAAAAAATGTCTAAACATGAAATAACATGAACTCAAATTATTTTAAATATAATAAAATCGTATATAAACAATAATCTCATAAATTATTGCATAAATCATACATCAAGTACGACTTGAGAATTTTAATAAGCAGTTCATGATGATTTAAATATATATAATTTGTGTTATTGTTTATCATGTTTTTGTTATCATGTTATGCATGTTATGTTGTTTGTTATTTTATGAGCTATGTATTTCAATTTAAATGTCTCTCGTCCTGTATTTCATCAATGGAAGTGTGTTTCGTTAATCATTCTATTGTTACTTATTATATTTTATTAATAACAATTAGCGTATTAATTAAGTAAAGAAATGAACTAATAAACATTGATACCAACAAAATATACAAATTAATTAAAAATAAGCATATTTATATTATTAAAATTAATGTTTTGTTAATAATAACAAATGTATTTATATTTTAAAAACTAATTTAATAATTAATACCAATTTATTTACGATAAATATGCTAATAAGTTGGTAATCGGGTGCAATTAGTTAAAATCGTCATTTTATATGGTACTTAATAAAATGATGTTAATTACGCCAAATCCTATTTTCACCTCTATATTTGGTAGGAAAAATAGGATTTGGTGGAAAAAATAGGAAAATGATGGACCGGTGGGAGATGAAAATTCCTTCACCAAAAAATCTGGTGGAAAAATAGGATTTGAGTATTTGGTGATATGGGGATTACCACGGGGGAGGCTAAAACCTAATCTCTATAATTTTAGGTGTAATGGTGATATAGGAATTTCGGGTGGAAAATTAAAAACACCTAAATTAGATGAAAAAATAGCGTTATGGTATCCGGTCGGAGATGCCCTTAATCAAAAAGCTCAAAATTGCATAATAAATCAAAATACAAACATGAAATTCGACAAAGCAAAAAAGTAAAAAACACCTTTATGCATGTTGGTTTTATTAGCTGTTGAATTACGATCCGAGCATTCTAATCAACAAAGATAATAAATAATGTTTCACTGTCTTAACAGTCTCCACTTTGAAAGCTATTTATCAATATCTTCTTGAATATGTCCGGCTTCAACCACACGTAATGTCAAAATAAATGAATCACTACATGTTAATAAGATTAGTATATATATATATATACAGGGGCGGATCTAGGGGGTGGCCATGTATGCCATGGACCACCCTAAATATAAAAAAAAAATTATTTATATACATATAATATTGGATATCTCAGTGGTAAAGTAGTCCAACTTTTACCCTGAGGTCAAGGGTTCGACCCCAGAAAGGAAAGCTACTTTTTGTTGACTTTTTAATTTTTTGTGATTTTTTTACCTCAATTTTTGTGCCCCCCAAATCCCAAATCAGTATTTTTTTTCCTCAAAAGTTCTTACCACGATCAGCAGTCAGCAACTTCCCCAACACTTTTTTTTTCCTCCAAAACTTTTTTTTTTCTCCAAGACCCTCTCTTTTATTTTCCCAAAATTATTCCTATCTTCTGGAATTTGTGGAAGACAACATATAATTCAGTGGATTTTCGAATTCAATTAAGGGAATCCCGAAAAATTAAAAGCAAATCAAAGGAAAAGGGAGCTAGGGTTTCAATTGATAAAGAGGTAAAATTGTTAATTGACAGCCGATTCGGTGGTTTACGGCTATTGTCTCAGGTGGTGGTCACCGAATTTAGGCGAGAAGTCAAGTCTGTTGTTGAAACTTTAGAAGTCGATTAGAGGTAATTAGACTTTGAATTTCAATTTTTATGATTTTTCAGATAATTTGTGCACCATCAATCAAATTGTTTAATTGATTTTATTTCATTTATTTTACAGGATGTTGTTCAAGTTCTTTACGCCTATCCCTCGATTTTCGGAGTCTAATAATTCTACTATCGGAAATGAATCAACAATTGAAGCCTCTCCAATTCTTTCTACAACTGAGGGACCATCCGAAGAACCTTCTTCTACTCCTTCATCAAGTGATCCACCATCTTCAAATAAGGTATTCAAAAAGGGGGAATATTTGGAGTTGGATCCTGGCAAAAGAACTCCAATTCTTGATTATCATCCAAATGATCAAGATGAGGTGAGAAGAGCTTATCTTGTAAATGGACCTACAAGACCCAATATGACAGATTATCCTCCTAGAAAAATTGGAAAAAGGAATCGTTCTTTTAATAATAGTTGGTATAAAGACAATGACTGGTTGGAATATAGTATAGAAAAAGAAGCTGTGTTTTGTTTGCCATGTTATTTGTGCTACAATGGTAGAAGTAATTCTGCATTTGTGATTGAAGGTTTTAGGTGTTGGAATCTAAAAAACAAGTTGAATACACATGTTGGTGAACTCAATAGTAATCATAGAAATTGTGTCAAAGCATGTGCGAATCTTATGAAGAAAAATCAAAGTATTGAGTCTTCGTTTGTAAAGCATAGTACAAAAGCAGAAGCTGATTATCTTGTTCGTGTAAAAGCATCACTTGAAGCAGTCAAGTTTCTTGTCAGAGGTGGAATTGCGTTTAGGGCACATAATGAGGGGGAAAATTCTATTTATAAGGGCCATTTTCTAGAATTTATCGAAGCATTGGGGACAAACAATGAGAAAATAGCAGATGCATTTAAAAGTGGTGGAGGAAATTGTAAGATGACTTCTCCTATTATTCAAAAAGAACTTGCAAATGCATGTGCCGTTGAAACTGTTAAAAAAATAGTTGAAGAAATTGGAGATGGTTTCTTTAGTGGTCTTGTTGATGAGTCCGGTGATTGCTCTGGTAAAGAACAAATGGCAGTAGTTGTGCGTTTTATTGATGATAGGGGATTTATTGTCGAACGATTTATTGGCATTGTTCATGTTGAGGATACAAGTGCGAAAGCGCTTAAAGATGCTCTTGAAACTTTGTTGTCGGGATTTGGATTGTGTATATCTAAAATTCGAGGACAGGGATATGATGGAGCAAGTAACATGAAAGGTCAATTTGGTGGATTGAAAACCTTGATTCAAAAAGAGAATCCACAAGCCTATTATGTGCATTGTTTTGCTCACCAACTTCAATTGGCTCTTGTTTCAATGGCTCGGAAGCATGAAGATGTTGATTGGTTTTTCCTTGAAGTGTCTCGTATTGTAAACTTTCTACGGTCTTCTAACAAACGACAATCTTTACTTCGAAAAAAACAAGTTGCTCATTTTGCAAATCTAATTGAGGATGAGTTGGTGGAAACGGGTACCGGTTTGAACCAAGAGTTGTCTATTGCAAGAGCGGGTGATACATGGTGGGGATCTCACTTTCGGACTCTTAGTAGGTTGATTGATTTGTTTACTCCTATTATTGAAGTGCTTGAAGATTTGAAAAGTGATAGATATTCAAAGGGTGAACCAAAAAGTTTATTATTTGTCATGCAAACTTTTGGTTTTGTTTTTATGTTGCACTTAATGGTTGAGGTTTTGTCGTTGACAAATGATTTGTCTCAAGCATTACAAAAGGGAGATCAAGATATTGTTACCGCCATGCAACTTGTCCAAGTAAGTAAGAAAAGGATTCAACAAATGAGAGATAATGGGTGGGATGCATTTTATGAAAAAGTGGTGGATTCTTGTGGTAATCTTGAAATTGATGTGCCCGACATGGAGTCAAGGTATGTGAAAGGTAATAAATCCAAAAGACTAGCTCCGTTATTGACAAATCTCAATTATTTCAAGAATGATTGCTTTTTACATGTCATAGATTTTATAATGAAAGAGTTGGGTGATCGATTTACACCGGAAAATGTTGAGTTGTTGAATTGTGTAGCATGCTTGAATCCTTATTCTTCTTTTCAAGATTTTGACATTAAATCACTTGTGAGGTTGGCAAGATTCTACCCAAATGACTTTGAAAATGTTAGTGATAAGGAGTTGTCTAGCCAACTTGAAACTTATATTGAGTGTGTCAAGATGGACGATAATTTTTCCAAGTTGAAGGGTATTTCGGATCTATGTAGGACTCTTGTTCGTACAAAAAAACACAAGACATTTGGATTTGTGTACACACTTTTGAAGCTAGCTTTGTCATTACCGGTGGCCACGGCAAGTGTTGAGCGAGTATTTTCTGGCATGAAATATGTGAAGAATGAGTTGAGAAATCGAATGGCAAATTCATGGCTTAATGATTGCTTGGTGGCATTTGTGGAAAAAGAAGTGTTTATTACAGTCGATGATCTAGATATTATCAAGCGCTTTCAAGCCATGAGTAAGAGGAGAATGCATTTACGGTTGGACTAGAAATAAATTTTTAATCTGAGTTGTAATTGAAACATTGTTATTCTTTAAATTTTTTTTCTATGCGGCATACCCTGAGTTTTTATGCTGGATCCGCCACTGTATATATATATATATATATATATATATATATATATATATATATATATCTTACTAGCAAAATCGACAACTAAGTTAGCTTGACCATCAGCCTCGAAGTTTAAGTCCTTACATAAGACATAACGTATGTATATATAAGATGTTAGTTAAAAGACTGGTGATGTGATTAGTGGATGTAACGAGATATTCATGCAAGAATTAAAGATTTAGCGTAAAAAAAAAATAAAAAAATTCCGAGGCTTACCCTTAGAACGTGCATGATTTGGAACTTACTAAACATGCCCATCAATTTCTTTGCTTAGTTTTTCATTTTCGTTATTTCCAGAGGGAGAAAAGAAATGTTTGATGATTGATTCTTCTAAAGCCGTTCCGCAAAATTACTCTGCAAAGAGGGGTAAAAGGTCAATTCTAAAAAATTGAAACATGCGATTCTGGAATACCAAACTTGATTTCAAATATCAAAACACCCTTGCATCAATTTTTTATAGGCGATTTTAGAAAACCTAATTTAATTCCAAACCTAAAATAACTTGAATATGTTTCAAAAATAAAATCATGAACCTGCTTAACTTAATTTTGAGAACATAACTAAATTCTGGCCCTTCTATGTAAAAAACCTAACATTCAATTGAAGAAATGGAGAGAAGAAAACGGGAGAGGTGGAGTTAGAGTGAAGAGGGGAGATGGAGAGAAAAATAAATTAGTAATTATACCTGAATCGATAGAGATTGACGGTGGCGAAGGCAAACGAACACAGGCGGTGGCGAAGGCAAACGAACACTGGCGGTGGCGAAGGAAAACGAACACTGGCGGTGGCGAAGGCAAACGGACACTAGCGGTGCAACGATGATGGTGGACGCGAAAGCCAGATCGAAGAGTAGATCGCTCGGGTAAAGAAAATGACTAGGAAAGAGGAGGGAATTTATGAGAGAAAAAAAGAAAAGGATCGGGCTAAGTCTAGAAAATTGGTGGAAGATTTTCTAGTAATAGGTAATTTAGATTAGTTTTATGTAGCGAAGAAATAGTTTTGTCACAACGAAAAAAGAATGTGACGAAATTACTTCGTCATAAGAAACCTAAATATTTGTCACAAGATAGTGCCTGCCAATTGTTTAAAATTTTTGTATATTCTATGGTGACGGTTTTTCATTATTGTCGCATAAAATGAAGTTCATGTGACGAAATTAACCTTCATCACCTAAAATATTCACTTATGTGACAATGTGAAATTTTATCATAATATCTCTCTTTACTGTGACAAAATTTAATTTTGTCACAAAAGATTGTCACATAAAGTAATTTTTTTTATAGTGATATTTCACTTGTTATGTTTTAATTAATATAATAGCATAACTTTAAATTATGTAAATAAATGGTGACATTGATAATTTCTTTCAATACATAGAATACAATCTAATTTTATTTAACATTGAAATCATAATGTTATATTTTGTTTCTAGTTTTACTCAAATAGTTAGTACCATGTGCATTCTTACTACTTTAGTCAATAATTCACACTATTTGAGATTTAATTGCTTAAAATTGCTCATTATAATTTGCTTTATAAATAAATAAAATTATATATGATTAACTTTATAATTTGTTCTGAGGGTGCAAAGTGCTATGAATTTGTTTCGAGGGTGCAAAATGCAAAAAGTGATATATTTGAAGGGTGTAAAGTAAGAAATGCAATGTAGTTAGGGGTATCGGAATGGATTTTTTTTTGAATTCCACCGATTCCAATTAAAAAATATCATAATTTAAAATTGTATTTTTCATTTCGATTTCGAATTCTTTCAATTTCTTTTTTTTGCCATGGGATTGAAATTGTATATAGAATTAATGAAAATTCCAATTTCCGACCGGCTTTAGTTACGAATATTTTGATTGATTATCGAAATATATAATATAATTTTATGATATATTTTTGTAATTCCATAATATAATATATGTTATATTTTATGTGAAACATATACATAAGGGCAAAAATAAATTAATAACATTAAAAAAAGAGTAATTGGTATCAGAGTTGTCTGTTGCATTTTTTCTTATATCAGAAACTGTGTTGCATGTTGTTTTATTTATTGCATTTTTGTTGAATTATTTTTTGGATTTTCATGCATTTCGCTAGAAAATTACGAAAAATAGTGAAAATTCTCATTATGTCCGATTTTTAATGCGATTATAAATTAATGCAATTTATGAAATTTTCGAAATTCCACCAATTCCAAGGCATTTCTAAATAAGAATAGATTTTTTAATTCCAATTTTTTCAGAACATAAATTGCAACCTATTCTAACTCTTGAAAAAAATTGGAAATTTTTCGAAAAAGACATTTCCGATTCGTTCCTCCCGATTTTCACCCCTAAATGTGGTTAACACTTCATATTTCAAGATTTTGGATAACAATTTAATCACTATATTGATGTTCCATGGTCTTTAACTTTGATTCTTTCCGTATACGTCAATTATCTAAATTTTTTTAATTAGTTTAAATTAATTTACGTACAATGTCACAAATAACTTTAAATTATAGGATTTGTTTTTTTGGAAGGTCCTTGGCCAACAAAAAAATATTTACGGTAACGAAATTGATATTTTGAAATATATTTGAAACACGTTGGTTTTTCTACAAAAGTGTTTTTAACTCTCTTACTTTCAAACTAAATTTTAGTTATGACTTAGTGGGCTAAGTGTTATGACTTAGTGGGCTAAATAGTGCTTAGTGGGTTTAATTGTGGATTTTATTCTAACTTCCTAACTAACCCACTAACCCATTTTCTTGAGTGCTCTTGAAGTTGGTTTTCTTGCAGATCATGGGCTGAGAAGTGGAAGCTTGGAAAGTCTATAAATACCAAACTGAAGACACAAGAAATGTACAGATTTCGAAGGAACAAAAACCGAGTGCTGAAGTTTATCTACGAGAGTTTTAATGTGTTTCTAGGATCTGTTGTACGTACTCCTTATGAGTACATTCTTTGAAATCTAGAATTTTTAATATTTCTCTTTTTGTATCTAGATTTGATTGTAAGAATGATCATGAGAATGATTCATTCATAAGGAAGAAGTTTTCGCACCTCTTCTGTTTGTATTCTTGGAATACTGTTTTTAATATATATTTTTCCGTCCAGTAAAGGGCAAGTTCACAAGTCTTTACTTGTGAACATTTTTAAATCTGAGTATTGCCTTTTTATCTTTATATTTCCACTGCATGTTTTCTCAAGTGTCATAACACTTCATATAACATCTCTGTATTAAACGAATTCGGGACCATAAATTCTTTCAATTGGCATCAAGAGCCAACACTTGACGTATACTAAGTGTTTGTTCCTTTTTCTTTTACAGAAACGAATTCGTGATGGATACTCAGATGACTGCTTCTATGCGACCTCCTGTACTTGATGGCATAAACTACACCTACTGGAAAGTCAAGATGAGGGCGTACATCAAAGCCATTGATGAGAGAGCCTGGAGATCTATTCTCACTGGATGGAAGCCACCAACTATCACAGATGCGGATGGGGATGTGTTTCCAACACCAGAATTACGGTGGACACCAGACGATCTATCAAATGCTAACCAAAACTCAAAGGCGTTAAATGCAATTTTTAATTCAGTAGATTTAACAATGTTTAAATTGATCTCAGTGTGCACTTCTGCGAAGGATGCGTGGGAAGTTCTTCAGCTACATTGTGAGGGATCAGACAGTGTCAGAAGAACTAAGCTCAGATTACTCTCTTCCAAATTTGAGAGACTGAGAATGGAAGAAACTGAAACAATTTCTCAGTACAATGAGAAATTGATTGATTTAGCTAATGAATTTCAATCCTTAGGTGGTCCTTTGAGCAACGAGACACTGTTGAATAAGGTACTGAGAACTCTTCCAGAAAGATTCAGCATGACGGTTACTGTTATTGAGGAGGCTAAAGACACATCATCTCTACGGCTGGACGACTTAATTGGTAGTCTAAAGTCTAGAGTGATGAACTTTGAAGATCAAAGAAAGGAGAAATGAAAGGCTATCTTAAATGCACTCTAGGCAGAATTAGAGAAGGAAGATGTTGCTCCGGAATATGATGATGATGCAGAGGAATGTCTCAACAATGTTGCATTCCAAATTCAGAAATTCAATAGGGCATACAGGCGAAGTGGAATCAAGCCCATACAGTTATTTCCAGATGGCTCTCCACAAAATCGACAAACTCAGCCCCGGAATAGACCTATTCCACAAGAATATTTCCTCAAACATCTTCTCAAAACACTTTAAAAAATTCTTCATTTATTCGTTCAGATTCTGAACCACCTAACTTGGATCATATTAAATGCAGGGCCTGTTCAGGATTTGGACATTATGCTAATGAATGTGCAAATACCTTGGGAAGAAGAGGAATGAGTTTGATTTGTGCTGTCAGTGATGAGGAGGAAGAGCAACCTGAACAGACAGATGAGCAGCAATCCACTAAACAAGCTCTTTCTGTCAGATATATCACTGGAAGTGCTTCTGAAACAGAATCACAAGAAGTTTCTCTAGATGCTGCAACACTTTCTGAAACACTTTCAGTAACTGAAATTTCTGAGTTAGATAATGATCATTATACATGTTTAAACTTTATTTCTTTGAATGCAGCAGAATCCAGTAAAGAAGCAGTTAGAGATGAAGAAGAAATGTGTAAGAAATTGTTCAGCGACTTGGAGAAGAAGACTCAAGCTCTAGGTGCAGCCAACAAGGAAAATTCTTCCCTTAAAGAAACAATCACACATTTGGAGGTTGGTATCACCGAGAAGGATCTTGAACTGGCAAAGGTGAAAGATGAACTCAAAGAAACAACTCTAGCAATCAAGAGGATGAATACCGGCACAACTAAACTCGAAGAGATTGTGTCACTGGAAAAGTACAACAAAA